TTTAGCCACCTGCAAAGTACTTATTCCTTGTGTATTCTGCACAGTTGCTGTGGTCATGCTTAGTTACCTGCTGGCTTCTAAACTCTGCCAGTATTTTCATAGGGTTTTTTCTTTCATTGTTTGTAAGTGCCTTGGTACTTCTTTGAAGAGGTGTCAGGTAGCAGGTGAAGAGCAGCAGGCTGAAAACTATTCTACTTGTCAGAAAGGCAATGTAACTGGGAGGAATTCACAGCAAAAGCAGAGTGCAACATCTAATAAGGGGAAGGCAAAACAGACGTGCCTTTGTCTAACCCATTCCAACTACATAAAGGAAATAAGCATGGGCTTACCCTGCTGGGATGATATTTTTTCTGCTTCTGGGCTACCAGCAGGTTTCCAAAATCATGAATCATGTAGCATAACGTATATAATCACACACAGAGCAGACGCTGCCTCTGCATGCTGTTCTGCAGAAAGGCAGGGAACAGAGAGGCAAAATTTAGACTTCACACAGCATTCCCTGTGACTTGCATCCTTGATGGAAGAGGTGAGGAGTTTAACATCACCAGAGCAAGGCAGAGAGATCACATTCATCTGTTCCTCTCACTTCTGGAACACAGTACAGCCATGGAGAATCTGGAGAAACTCTTGTCAGGCTGCCCTGGCCCACACTTCCTTTTACGTGATCTCCCTTGCTACTCTGACCTTTTTTAGTCATTATTAATTAACAACATTCCCATGGTTGTGAGGACAAGTTTTTTTTCAGAAGTCAGAATTTTGATTCCTCAACTTACAATATTCCATTTTATCTCCTCCCTGGCTTGGACTCGGTTGAGCAGTAGTAACGACCTGCCTGCTGCTTGTTGCTGTTTGACCTCCAGCTGGTAAAAGCTTGCTTATGCTAACCAGACTGCAGACTCTCCCGTGGACCAGGGGGTGTGGAAGGGCCCAGCTCATGCACCTCAGCCATCACCTGGAGGAAACACCGTGGGGCCAGCCACAAACTGTTTAAACTCATCCACTTGCAGTCTGTGATGGTGTTTGTGTTGCAGAAGGTACATCCCCCAGGACCTTCAGACCACACAGGCCTTGGTACAGCCCTCAGATGGTTTTCATGCTAAAGAAGAAATGGACATTAGTTGGGCTGCAAAATCCATACACTGCATGATGAAGCAATATTAATTCTAAATCAGGCTTGGTGTTCCTGAGATAAATTATTATCCTTCCCGTCCTTGCACAACATTGCAAGCCCTCTGCAGAGCAGCCAGCAGCTTGGATAATGGATTCCAGACTTCTTTAGCTATAATAATATTATGGCTATACATGGTCCTCTTTGTCTCAAGTAAATAATAAAGTGATCTGCTATGACAAAATGTTTAAACATCTTGGGAATGGTTCTACCCACTGTATACTATGACTTGCTTGATTTTTCTGACGTATCTATTTCAGCCATTGGTTTGATTGCCAATTCATAGCATTTAAACTAGAACAAGAAAAGAAATTATAAAATAAAATGCACTTGCACACTTTTTTTTTACATCCAGGAAGATCCCAAACTACTTTACAAACTATATGTTAATCCTGCCATCTTTCCTGGGATAGTTTCTTACAGTGTCATTTCTTTGCAATAAGGATACCTAAAGTCTTTGGTATCCTAGAGGATAAATATCTTAAGGATACCTAAAGTCTGAGATTCTTGATGTACAAGAATCACTTTCCTATTATCATCATGTACTGTCTTCTAGAATGGGCATGTTTTTTAACAGCATTAGGATAAATACAGTGCAGGAAGCTAATAACTTCAACAATATGTCTCATTATAAAACTTCCAAAATGTTTTGGAAAATGTTTTTAATGGTATTTAAGTTTTCATGCCTTGGGATATAAGCATATCTCACAGCATTAAAAAAATCTGTAAACAGGAACTGTTCTTATGGTAAGATATGACCAATCTATATACACAAGTGTGTTTGTGAGGTGCTAAAGAAAAAATGCTTATTTTCTCTACAGAGGGAAAAGCTGGGATAAGTTTAAGACACAAAAAATACATCAAGACAAACTGAAAAGTTGATTTTATAGACTGAACATCTGTTGTTAATCTACGAGCTTAGTGTCATAAACAAGAATAATGGAAATTTAAGTATAAAATACAAAAAATATATTAATAGATTAGGCAATTTTAAAACCAGAGATGGAAATTATAATTCCAGTAACTCCATTCTACTTCTTCCCTGATAGTACAATTACACAAGACAGTACTGAGGTCATTCATCAAATATAAACTGCAGCAGAACTCTGACACTAAGCTTCATTTCTATATGGAAAAATTACCATGTTTTCATTTCTATAACCTGCAGATTATCTAATGGGGAGATAAATAGCCAGGCAACCTCCTCCTCTTACTCCCCACTGTTTTAGCAATTGCTGTAGTCCACAAGTCTGTAATTTTCTGAAGGAGCTGTTTACTCACAGAATTACAGAATCTTAGGGGACCTCGAAAGATCACCCAGTCCAATCCCCCTGCCAGAGCAGGGTCACCCAGAGCACATCACACAGGAACGTGTCCAGGGGGGTTTGAATGTCTCCAGCCAAGGAGACTCCACAGCCTGTCTGGGCAGCCTGTCCCAGGGCTCTGTCACTCTCACAGGAAAGAAGTTCTTCCTGATATTCACATGGAACCTCCTATGCTCCAGTTTGCACCTTGTCCTTTGACTGGACATCACTGAAAAAAGCCTGGCTCTGTCCTCCTGACACTCATCCTTTATATATTTGTAAACACTGATGAGGTCACCCCTCAGTCTCCTCTTCTCCAAGCTAGAGAGACCCAGCTCCCTCAGCCTTTCCTCATTAGGGAGATGTTCCACTCCCTTCATCATCTCTGTGGCTCTGTGCTGGACTCTTTCAAGCAGTTCCCTGTCCTTCCTGAACTGAGGGGCCCAGAACTGGACACAATACTCCAGATGTGGCCTCAGGAACCTCTTTCACATGCTAAACACCTTGCCTGTGATTACCAGTGCCTACTACTTTTTTCTTGGTATATTTTATATGTCCAACTCAGACTGACTAATCTACACATCTAGTTAGGATCTGTGAGTTTCAGAAGTTGCAGGTCATAAGTTTGAAAATATGGCATCTCTTGTAGTGTTTTATATGTTGAAATACAAGGGACAAATATGGTTTTGCTAAGGAAACATCTTATTATTTCTTTCATTGAACAATGAAAGGCTTAGAAAACAAGACAATGGTATAGGAACTGGGTGGAGCACAGACAGTTCACTGGGGAAGAGGTGAGGGCTACTGGAGTGATTTATCAATGCTCATCTCCTGCAAACACAGGAAAAGGACCATATGTGATGTGCTCACCTGATCCTAACATACATTCCCCGCTTAATGCTTCGAAAAAGCAAAGAAACAGAACAACAGAAGTCAGTAATGGAAAGTGACCAAGAATCCTTCAAGCATTATTTAATAGTTTCCTTTAATTTGTAATGGTGTAGTGGAATTAAAATATGGCATAACCCGGGTTAATTTTTTAAATCCACACACACATTCATGCAGTCATGATGGTTTTATATATATACACCCACAGGAACACACACATGTATATAAGCTAAAATACAATTACTGTACTACAAATGTTAGTCTTAACCTGTATGGCAATTCTGACTGGAGATTGGGAAATCAATGGGCATAAAAGCTGAAGGAATTAAAAGGTGAAAAAAGGAGAGAAGTGAAACAAGTAGTGAAAAGAAGAGTACTTACAACTAAGCACAAGTAAGTCTCTATCTTAAGTAGCACTATTAGACTCTTCTGTGTGGACCAGGCCTGCTAGAATAGTCCTTAAGTCTGATCTGCACTGGGTACATCTGGTACTGGCTCTGGTACCTCCTCTTTCACTGCTCTTTGTCCTTAGGTCAAACTATCACTGCCTTTTCTATTATGAAAAACCATCAACCCTATTTGCTCTAGATTTACACTTAAAATTGAAGGGAAAGTTATGAAATAGAAGGACTACTGTTACCATCCCATCTGCAACACAGTGCTACCCAAAGGTTTCAGACCAAGACCAACACTGTAGCTTTACATGCCCTACAATTGCAGGAACTGCTGTCATCTTCTTCACAATACTCTTTCTTAAATCACCTTATTTTGCCAAAGCTCAGTATTCAGCCTTCCAGAACACTTCTAAAATACACCCTGTATCTTTTCTGTCCCCTTCCAGATCTTTATGCCCTCTTGCAAAAAAAAACTAAAAAAATTTTAAAAAATCCTTGCCTTTCTTGACATCTTATTAAGAGCAGTTTTATTCAGCTCTAGTCCTTTGCTTCTGTTTTTTGGTAAAAACAGTCCAAAATAATTCAATGTCATTTTGTCTCATGGCTGCTCATATTGCACATGCTGCCTGTTCCTAAAGGATCTATCTCCCTTTTGGTCTGGTTTCCTTTTTGGGTTTTTGTTTTGGTTTTGTAGCATTTAACACTAAAGTACCCTACTTGTGTCACTCTGTCAAATGAGATCAAGCTATGCTTTTTTTGGGGGGTCTGCATATAAAAAACTAACCTGGTTTTTATGTTGTTTCTGCATCTCATGCCACAAATAGTGTAGATTTGTGACATGTCCCACTGAAGTTCTTTCAGTGCAGCTGTTTATACGGTCTTTTAAAACCAGACCAACAGATAGGTTGAAACACACAGTGATTAGTCTTTGACACTGGATTAAAATTAAATGTATAATGGTCAATATAGAAGAAAGATTTGTAGTTTCTTTGTACCACAGAGCAGTAGGACTACTTAGCACTGAAAAACTGGCAGCATCTATTTCTCTGAGAAGGGTACTAAAAGATTTTTCAATATATTGCAAAGTAAGAAATCACTCTAAGCAGTAATTCTGTAAGACAGTTCATGATATCAAGAATTATGTGCTATAAATGGTGCCTGAATTTGCACGCACTTTGAAATACAGGGGAATGTTCACACTACAAAACAATAGAATAAAACAAACATATCAGAATACGGCTTAACTTACCAGGCAGATGTACTCTGAAAAGACATCAGGGGTGGGCTTAAAGTATCTCCTTTTAAAGTATGTACTGTCTGTGATGTTTGAGGCTGTGGCTGAGTTTGAGGCTGTGTCTCTGGCTGAGGCTGTGTCTGTACTTGGCTTGGATCCTGAGCAGGGTTAATCCATCGGCTCTGTCCCTGTGTCATCCACTTTCCCTGGATTCCCCACCGTGCCAAGTAAAATTTGCAAATATCATAGTTCATTGAAGAGTAATATAAAAGGTCCAGTACCAGCAAGATCACCACAAAAAAGCCATAGATCCACACTCCTAACAGTGCACTGTAGTTGCTGTGAAAGAAAAAAGGGAAAACAAAAGTTACCTTGTATATCAATAACAGTCATTGTGTTAATTTATCAAGGTTTTATTATTTATATACATATAATACATAGATGAAAAAAAAAAAATTGTTCTAAAGCATGTATCCTTAAACTGCCTTATTATTTTGATCTAAATACTGCTATATGCATGACGTGGGAGGTTTTTAAAACTAAGGCTCCTTGTCTTACAAGCATTTCTCCCTCTCATCTGTGTACTTATACCAGAACAGAAATTTGGTGTACAATTAGCTTCAGTACTTCAAGTGAGACCACTGATATGTACACGGCTGATGGGTTGTATGTCTTATTCTGCAAATTCTCACTCCCAGGAAGTCACCCTGCTGAAAGTGATGGCATTTGAGTAAGGGGTAACCATAGAATCATAGAATCATAGAATCTTAGGGGTTGGAAGGGACCTCGAGAGATCATCTAGTCCACCCCCCCTGCCAGAGCAGGGGCACCTAGAGTACATCACACAGGAACTCATTCAGGTGGGTTTTGAATGTCTCCAGTGAAGGAGACTCCACAACCTCCCTGGGCAGTCTGTTCCAGGGCTCTGTCACTCTCACAGTAAAACAATTTTTTCGGATATTCACCTTGAACTTCCTATGCTCCAATTTACACCCATTACCCCTTGTCCTATCACTGGTCATCACCGAGAAAAGCCTAACTCCGTCCCCCTGACACTCACCCCTTACATATTTGTAAACATTGATGAGGTCACCCCTCAGTCTCCTTTTCTCCAAGCTCAAGAGACCCAGCTCCCTCAGCCTTTCCTCATAAGGGAGATGTTCCACACCATATCAAAATACTCTAATAATTGAGACCAAGGAGTGACTATACTTACTGCAAATATTCACTGCTGATATGCACTATAAACCACTTGGATTAAAAGGCATTTGAGATGCTTGGATTTGCTCTTAATTTAATATTTAATTATTGAGGGATACAGAACACACTAGTAGAAGTATAGGCTTTCAAGAGGAACTGCTAGAGATCCCTTAGTTTGCTGATAATAAATTTAGGACAAAAGAACATTGACAAGATGCTATTACACAATATGTTCCACAGTAAGGAAAATATGTACAATATTTAAATCTATGTGTTAGTATAATTATCTTGTGTATGTATAGGTAAAGGCCATGAAAATTATCAGATGCTGACGTGGTGCATGGAGATGTAAAGCTCTGACAGGTGACTAAAGATATTAAAAGAAATGGGGGGGAAAAGGAGGATAAGGTACAAGGAGTCACGAAACTGGAAATCAAAAAGGGAGAGAAGTACTAAAGCTCTCCTGGAGAAGCAATATTATTAAAAGAATAATGACTGTCATGTGTAAATGCAGTTTGGAGTGCAAATTGTGTGGGTGGGGAGGATGAGGTCAGAACAGAGAAGGAAGAAATGCGTAAGAATGAGATGGTGAGGTGTGCAGTGACGAAGGCTAATCTAGACCTATGAGCTAATGTGGAACTATAAGTACCAGAGACTGTAAAAATAAGAGCAAGCAGAAGGGATACTAGTGAAAAATGTCATTAGAAAGAAAATCTTGCAGAAAAATTATACTGAAGTAATAGACAGGCAACCCACATCTACGTGAACCTGAACTTACACGAATAAAATTGAACACACAATCATGCTCACAGACATTCTGAGGAACCTAGAGGGAACTATATATTATCAGAATGTTGACCAAAATGGAAGTGCTATGAGAATATAAAAGGCTGAAAAGACATATCATAGGTGCAACCCAGAAAGATATCTTGACATTTTAAAAACATGTCCGAGCTTTTTCAGATAAAAAATATTCTGCCTCTGCTTTGAGCTTTCATGTGCATTTAAACTTTTGTATGACTCATTTTCTACTTTAAAAAAATCAGGATTTGAAACAAGAAATCAGAATTGAAATCAGAAAAGAAATCAGATAAGAAATCAGAATTCTAATTTCTGTGCTGCTGACTGGCAGCACTTAAAGAGGCTGATTTATCTCACCAGGGAATGATTTTTCCACTACACAGATGCAAAGTTCTTAGATTTATTGAGGTTTCATAGTAAATAACTGTAAGTAAAAAATGGAAGTTCAGGACTGTTAATGGGTCCCTTCCTGTGTAACTTTAGCATTACAAAAGTCTAGGAATAAAAAAAAATAAATAATCCAGTACATTCCCAGGAGGATTGGAAGTAGACAATAGATAGTGCTTCTGAAAACACTTAATTTAAGAGTCATTGTCTCTACTAAAGGCTTGCACGTGCATGCCTAGCTTCACACAACAGTGGGTAGACATTTGTAATGCATAAAAATCTTGGCAGTCAGGCACTTGAAAATATAATGGGACCTTCTCAGCAGTGCTACCTTTGACTTTCAGTGGCTTTACTCCTTTTGGGGTAAATTCTTCTATTTTCTGCTAATAGAAATAAAAGAGTAGAGAAGGCAGGAGAAGTCAGGAAGAAATTCAGTTTAACAAATCACAGAATCATCACAGTTGGAAAAGACCTCTAAGATCATCAAGTCCAACCATCCATCCAAGGGAATAAATAAAAAAGCAATCAAATAAATCCCCAAACAAACCACAACTACACCCCCCACAAAAACAACAACACACAACCCACAAAAAAGCCCCACAACCTCGGCCACTAGAGCATGCCCTGAAGTGCCACATCTACACATTTCTTGAATACCTCCAAGGATGGTGACTCCACCACCTCCCTGGACAGGCTGTTCCAGTGCCTGACCACCCTTTCAGTAGAGAAATTCTTCCTAATACTCAACCTAAACCTCCCCTGCTGCAACCTGAGGCAATTTCCTCTTGTCCTGTCATTATTCACTTGGGAGAAGAGCCCAACACCCACATCACTACAACCTCCCTTCAGGTAGCTGTAGAGGGCAATGAGGTCTCCCTTCAGCCTCCTCTGCTCCAAACTAGATATCCCCAGTTCCCTCACTCAGCTGCTCCTTGTATCACTTGTTCTCTAGTCACTTCACCAGCTTGGTGGCTCCTCTGGGCCTGCTCCAGCACCTCAATGTCCTTCTTATAGTGAGGGAACCAGAACTGCTCACAGGACTTAAGGTGCAGCCTCACCAAGGCTGAGTAGAGGGGCAGGATCACCTCCCTGGTCCTGCTGGTCACACTATTCCTGATACAGACCAGGATGCTGTTGGCCTTCTTGGCCACCTGGGCACCCTGCTGGCTCATGTTCAGCTGGCTGTCAACCAGCACCCTCAGGTCCTTTTCCTCTGGGCTGCTCTCCAGCCACTCCTCCACAAGCCTGTGGTGTTCCCTGGGGTTGTTGTGATAAGAAATGCAGGACCTAGCACTTGGCCTTCTTGAACTTCATACAATTGGCCTTGGGCCATTGATCCAGCCTGTCCAGGTCCCTTCCTGCCCTCCAGGAGATCAACACTCTCACCCAGTTTGGTGTCATCTGCAAACTTACTGAGGGTGCACTCCATCCCCTCATCCAGATCATTGGTAAAGATACTGAACAAGACTGGCCCCAAACCTGAGCCTGAGGGACATTAGAAAACATGTTATTTTTGTTTTGGTAACAATGTGAGAGGCAGGAGCATTTCTTATAGTTAACTCAAAAGAATTTGTTTGTACTTTAGGTATTTAGTAGTTTCATTCATCAAAAATGTGGTTAGCAAAAATCAGAGCTATTTTGAATGCTCCAGTTTAAAGCAACAATTTCCTAATCAAGCCATATGTGAGGTATCCATCTGCTCCTTCTAAATAACATCTGCTTCTCACAAGTACAAAAATGAAAGAGTATTTTAATTTACAGAAAGTGGGACAACACCACTATCAAAAGGGCCTTGTGAAAAATCACAAACAAAATTAATAAGTAGTATACTTTGCACACAAAGGGAAATGCCATACTTAGATGTTTGCTGTTTCTTGAACTATTATGATGGTAGAAAAAATTAATTTTGCTCATCATGACTAATTATAGCAAAAATTAAAACTTCCCTACAAACTAAGAAGGTGTCTTAATTATAAAATAAATAATCTTTCTTACACTGAATAACAGCAAGGCCAGAGACACAGAAAAGAACTGGGAATCCTACAACCTGCTTTTATTTTACTGAACATAACTAATTAATTGTAAAACTTTCATTTCACAATCTGATTTTCAAGTATTTTGTGCAGGTTTCATTTTAATTAAAAATAAAGTGTGAACAGATTCCAAATGTATCAAGATTTAAATGAGAGGGTTTTGTTCCTTCACAGGGTCAATAATGACAATAAGTTATTTTAGTGTGGCTTACTCTGCTTTCCCTTTCCCTAGCTGGGAAGCTTGCCCTGCCCTGCTAGTGCTCCTGCCCTGCCCAATATGTCATTTTGGAGGTTTCTGTTTAGGTTCAACACAAAGTTGAGCAATGAAACACTGAAAATTAATTCTAAAGCTATGTTGACCAGTCCTCTGCTTCTGCTGATACACAAACATGAAAGCTAAACCTGGAGTCAAAGTTAGAATTTCTTTTCACCTTCTCTGTAAAACAGGTTAATTCCTGGATGTATCAGAAAAGCTTAGTAGCTCATTATTTAAAGATTCTTCATATTTTATAGAAATACCATGCATATATGGTATAGCCTTGATACAAAGCCAACTTGTATAAATGGAAATATTTGCTCTGGATTCAGGAAGCCTTAGATTGGGCTCTCTGAGAACAACAGATACTTTTACTATCCATCTCTGTTCCTATTCTCCCCACAGAATCCTGCTTAGGTTTCCCTAACATCCCTACACACAAATGAAAAGAATATCAGTAAAAGAACCTGCCTTATCCATGTGGTTGTTTCAATCTAATTCATTAAATTTTTGAGACAAGCAGGTTAGGACCAGGCAATATTTTATTTAGAGGAATTGGGTGGTTTTGTTTTTTTTTTATGTGCAGTACATGAATAGAAAAGAATTCATTTGGGAACTCAGGCTTAGAAAAACAACAAATCAAACCAATTGTGAGCAGAATTCTACAGCTCCAGAGTTTAAATGTGGGCAGATGGCCATGGAAACTGTTTCTTTCCCTGTTCTCCTTAAATGGGGCTGTTACTTGCAGTAGTAACACTTTCTGAGGGTTGCCCCAGGGAAATGAAAGCTTACACCCTAGCAAATGCCTTGGTACTTCTAACACTGAGGAAAGCTGTGAAGTTTTTACCTGTACACTTTAAAGATGATTGGTTTTTTACTATTTTGTTTTTCCTATTAACTCAAGGCCTCTCCCCAATCCTGTGTTTTCCTGTAGGATGTTACTGTACCACCGACAAGGTCTTCCCAGCTAAATTACATCTTTTTGCAGCAGCTGGTAGTGGAATGAATAATTTATCATTTCTTTTTGCTTTCTTGGAAAGATGACTTTCTGAGAGATATTTAAGCAAATGCCAGCTCTGCAGGGGACATGCTGTGCATGGAGAAAAGGTAGAGCTATTCTGCATTCGCCTTTGGTGCAGCGTTCTGGTGTGTAGTGCAAAAATCATCCAACCCTGGAAAACTGGACTAAGAGAGAAGGAAAAACAGGGCCACATTACTGACTTCCAAAACACTGTTCCAGTACCAGGTTAAGGACCCCTAGCATAGTAGTACTGCTGATAATCCACCAAAACATGCATAACAGAAAATCTGAGAATGAATGTATTTTAAAGAATAGTTACACAATCCATCAGAGAAAGTTTTATGGAAAAATACTTTGGATGGCAGAACTATGTTTGTCTCTTAGACACCATTGGTATTTCTCTATTTAATACTAAATGAATTTTCATATTTTAAACTATTATAAACTGATTCATCTGCATGATTCCAAAGAGATAACAGCAAAGTATTCTGCACTTATAAAAACATAGAAATCTTCTGTTATAGTAACACAACAAAATGTAAACAAACTTGGTTATAGTGGTATTGTGCTACTGCAGAAGACAAATGTGTTTTTTCAGCTGTGCCACGATGATGAAGTTACAAGTCATTCCATTAATTTTTCCCCTCAACTGTATCATAAAATGAGAAATTTGTTTTGATGATCACAAGAATAGCTAGGGGGAAAAACAAACCAAAAACTGCTATTCAAATAAACTAAATAATAATATTGACTCACTCTTCTCTAAAAACTACGATTTTTTTTTTTTCAGTTCATTGCTATTCCCATATCCTAAATCATTGTCACAATACATTAATTTTAATCAGAATTTTTTTCAGTCATGTGTGAAATGAGAGCTAAACAAAGAACTGATTTTGTTACTATAAAGTGAATCCTGGATCTACTAGAACCCAAATAAAGTTAAATTATTGTATATTTTAAATAAAGTCAGAATGCATTTAATAAGATGCCTTTTATAATGTTTTTATGTAGGCATTATGTAGGCATCTTTCTGTCCCTCTACACCACACCAAAATTAGCAGGAAGATTTCTACCTATCTCAGTAAGCTCAGGGTGAGGAAAGCTCTCTCCCCATCTCCCTACATTGGTGGAGTTTTATGAGGAAACTTAGAACCTCTTCATTTTCCTGGTCTTCATTTTATCAGAGGTGATGTTTCAGGAAGTTAAAAAAAGGCAATACTGCTTCCACACTTGCACTTCTCTAAGCTGCTTCTCCAGAAGCTTTTAATTGTATTAAGCATGATTTCACACACCTTTGCAGATCAGCACAGAACTAATGTGGTGGTTCTTGAATGAATCTTGCCATATCTTCTCTATCACAACTGAATAGGGTGACTTTTTAATATATATATATAAAAAGACTGGTAATCACAGAATCATAGGGTTTGGAAGGGACCTCTGAAGATCATCGAGTTCAACCCCCTTGCTGCAGCAGGAACACTTAGGGCAGATCACTCAGAAATGCATCCAGATGGGTCTTGAAAGTCTCCAAAGGAGACTCCACAACCTTCCTGGGCAGCCTGTTCCAGTGCTCTGTCACCCTCCCAGTAAAGACGTTTTTTCTCATGTTGAGGTGAAACTTCTGTGTTGTAACTTGGTGCTGTTTCCCCTCATCCTATCACAGGGCACCACTGAAAAGAGACTGGCCCATTCTTGATATCCACCCTTCAGATATTTATAGATATTAAGAAGGTCCCCTCTTAGTCTTGCTCAGCCCCAGGTCTCTCAGCCTTTCCTCATACGTCAGATGTTCCAGTCCCTTCATTATCCTCGTAGCTCTCTGTTGGACTCTCTCCAGTAGATCCCTGTCCCTCCTGAACTGGGGAGCCCTGAACTGGACACAATACTCCAGATGTGGTCTTACTAGGGCAGAGTAGAGGGGGAGGAGAATCTCCCTTGACCTTCTGGCCACACTGTTCTTAATGCACCCCAGGATTTTGCAGCCACACTGTACCTGTTCCTCTGTGCATGCCTGCTTTGGAAAGCTGCTGACTGCCCCGTCCATATCAGGTTGTTCATGACAGTAAAACCAGAAGGGCCTTACCTTAGTAAACTCTAGTCCTGACTACACAGAGTAGCTGTGAAGATGTTGGAAAAAGCCTGAAGCATTGGCTTTCTACTTGGCTGAACTGGCCAGTAACATCCCAAACTCTGATGAAGCTGCCTGTTAGGCAGACTTGGTTGCTCAGCAGTGTTGGTGGAGCATTTATGGAACAGTAAGGGAAGAAGTAAAGAATATTTGCTCTGTGCAAGACAAAGAACTGGGAAAGTGTGGGGGCAATAGCCACGCTAGTCTATTCTTGACACTTTATTTTTGTCACTCTGAGCATTTTTATCATGCTGAGTGTGAAGCAGTTTTCTGGTTCTGTTTGCAACTGTGCCCCCAGCCCTTCTGCACTGAGTCCTGGAGGACATCTCTTCATGCAGGCATCTGATGGCTGCTCTGGTAGCATGGTCACCCTAGTAAACAAAGGGGGATCACATCCTACTTTTACCATACAGCATGCATTGCATGGGAGCATTGGGGCATACTGGGATATAACCTCCATCAGGTTGCCTGGAGGCATATATGTTGGCAGAAATGGGTAGTCCCAGGTGGGAGTTCTACCAGTTTCTACATTGTCTAGAATGCACAAAGGATGGAGGAGATGGACAGCCTTTAACAGACCTGTTAGACTTTAAGTGTCTCCCCAACGTTCTGTGTGATATGTTCTTAGGATGTTCCCAGATGCACTACAAGGCCAAGGAAAGGAAATTTCACCTCAAGGACACAGCTGCACAGATAGTAACAAGACAGTAGGGTTTCACATTGATTTAAAGGTATCTTATATGGGTAGAGTCTATTTTTGTCTTTCTTTCACACTACACAGACTTCTTTATAGTAGGTGATTGCCCCTTTAAAACCTGTAAATGTAGAGTGTGCAACTTCTACATCTATGCAAGATTCAAACCTCTCTAGGCAGAGCTGTATGAGGAGTGGTTGTAAGGGAGATGACAGTTTGCTGACTCCATGAGCTGCCTGCTGCTGGATGCAGTTGCACACACAGACAACATCACCAGTCCAGCACCATAGTCTCCTAGCAGCCTTGCACCTGCTTCCATAGGAATGGATGACAACACACTGACTGACTTTTGCACCACAGAAGAAAACAATAAAATCACTTGTGAACAAAAATCAACAGACTGGAATTCCAGTTGTCTTTAATCTGCCCCTTCCTTACCCTGGAGGGGCTGGATACCAGAATAAAATGGCAGGGGAAAGCAGATAGTTCAGAATTGGACCTTGGGGATTTACATCAGCTGAAAGTTGCCCTCTGCACCAAAAGAAATTGCAGCAGATGAGTGTAGCCAGAATGTCAAATACTAAAAAGGAGACGGACCACAAGTGAAGATTTTGTCATCTTAAAGAAAGTCATCAGTAATGAAAATCTACTGGCTACTTAATTTTTCTTTAGAAAAAAAGTTACAGATACTCACCTTAGAGAAGAGGCCCCAGCAGTACATGGAAGTTTCCCAGGTAATAGGCAAGGAGACCACACAGTGTTGGTACATGAGCAAATAAGTTCTGCCCCCCAGCGTCAGTGATTACAAGAGATTTCTATTCAAGCCATCAGAGATTCAAAACAGCATACTTGGGTTGATATGGAAAATGTCACCTCACTTCCTGTCTCCCCTGCAGGTAGCTTTGGGGTTTATTTTTAGTAATGCACATTTGAACACAGTTTGGATCAGACTGGGCCCACAGGTGAGACTTTGGTAACTTTTCTATGTAACTTGAGATTTGTTACATTTATAAGCAATTTTTACATAGGAGCACTCCTAGCAATGTTTATAGCCCGTGTCAAAGGAAAGAAAGCAAAGCTAAAATAGCCTTCCTTTTAGGAGCTCTGTAACAGCAAAAACCTCCCAGCAATGTTTTTCTGTACATGCAATGATTCTAATTGCTCCCATGATGAAGCAAACCTCAGACTATGTTATCAGAGCAGGAACAGCTTGGTGAAGAGTACTTTAAAACTCATGCACTTACTTATGCATATATCCATCTGCATTCCCCGTTAAGTTCATCTGCATAACAGTCTGAAATTCTGTCTCATTGCAGCAGTATTTAAATACCGTGTTGTTATGGTGACAGCAAAAGATGTAAGATTTATTGTCAGAAAGACGGGGGCAGTGAAAACCGAAGTGGTAGCGACCTTTGTAGTCCGTGTACGGCTCGCAGACCCGGAAATGTGCAGACAGGGCTGTAAAACAAAGCACAACATTGGCTTGGTGAGTGACTTGTTACACATTATGAACTATCATTTTTCATTGGTTAAGCTTAAACAATTGTTGTTTGATTTCTGAAACACACCGATGGTTCAGAACTTTCAACATTTGCTATTACGATATTTATCCTTTTGTTACGTTTTGACTTTTATTGCTACTTTGTTCCTGATCACTATGATTTCTTTCAAGGGAAGAAATGTCCCCCACACTAAGAAGCACAAAAATATTTGGGGAAACGTTTTCTGTTCTAAATATATGGATACCCATGAACACCCAACAATGTGTTTTTATTCTCCTGGGATGACTTCATAAAACCAAAAAGCCTCCATAGAAACTGCAACAAAAGTTTGATGGCACTTGATTTACAGTCATTATTCTTGACAAAAAAAAATAATCTCTATTGTAAAGGTCATTCATTGATAAGGATTATTTTGCCAGAAATAGTAATTATAAGACAGTATAACAGATCTGAATGATTTTGAATTTTCAAATAGATAGAATTAACAGAAATACAGCTATTCCTGGGAGTTCCTACATTAAACCCTCAAGTAAAGTGTTTTTTACCTCTCTGAGAATATTTTTTTCATAAATAAATTATATATATGTAATTTATATAGAAAAAAATAAATTTTATATATGTATGTATAATATTAAATGCTTTCCATGTACATCCCTTGAATGTAGACTTGAGGCTGACAGTTGTGTGGTGACATGTCCAGTGTGGTTCCATCTACCTGTTAAGACTGTGGGCAGGTGCAAGCTGCCTGACCATGCTGTAAGGCTGCTGGTTGCAAACAGCCCTGAACTGGAAGCTATCCCATCACCTTGGTTTCCCTGAGTTAATCAGCCTCGCAGAGGGGTAGGATATAGATCTCTTCCAGCATGGACACAAGCAACAACACAAATTCCTGATTGATCTGAAAAGTCTTATAAGAGACAATATTTGGTTCCATATACTGCTGACATTTTAACTTATTTATAATTTATGTTGTCCAAGGCCTTATGGTCTCATTTAAGGCTACATGTACCATAAAGACTACCCAAAGTCCTTACACTCCAAGGCAAGTGAAATTTAGGAGTCAGGAGTCTGAATACTCTTAGCAGTGAAATGTTTCTACCCTGATTAGAGAACAGAGGCAAGACAATGCTGGAGGTAGCTGCACTTCATAAGGTTCCACCAATTAATAAAGGATATTCACTTCAGACTGACAATTATCCCTTGTAACTTGTTGTATGATTTTTGTATCAGTTTACCATTACAAAAGGTTACAGATCATTATTTGCTCTAATTTAACTGTGTTATATCTCTCTAGATACAGTCTCTGTTAATCTGAAATTGCTTCTATGCATTTTATGCATCTAATCCTCATTTCTTTCTATGTTGCTTTAAAAAGTCTATTCCTAACACTTTTGTTTCTCAATTTGATAAACCACATTAATCTCAAGAATCTCTCTTTCTGTAGGTCTAGCTACATTTTAAGGATCATGACAGTGGAGGTTACTTCTTTGTTTGTGTGTACAGAAGAAGCCTAGAACAAAAAGCAGAATATTAAACTGATGAGAAAACAAGATGATTTGCACTGCCCTCTGAGTGAAGGAAAGCCACTCTAAACATTTTACATTTATGTATACATATATACACATGCACACACACTGACATGTGCACGCACAAATACCTGTCATCATTACTTTAACAAAGGAGAAAATAGTTCTGTAGATTAATTCAGTCAGGAACTGAGAGTGCTAGAAGAATAATATTTCTCAAGTAGCACAGATAACGAGAAAACTAAATACATATCTTTTCCTGCCCTTCCTGGGAAAAATGAGTCTTCCAAACCTGAGAATGCCAGAACTAGGCAAGAAATTGTCTTTCTATGGACTTCGGTTTGCAAGATCCTCTAACGCTTGTAACAAATCTGCATGTTCAGATTCTGTTGCAAAATCTACAAAGCATGTCGTTGCATTAACATGTATTTGTTTGAACAAGTATTTTCTTCCCTTCACCTTCCTTAATTAACATAGTAATAATGAAAGTGTTCCAGGATCGATTAAGTTTTGAAAAAACTCAGTGCTTGCAGTTGGAAGGAACTTCTGGAAGTCATCTGGTCCAACCCCTGTGCTCAGGCAGGGCCACCTAGAGCCTGCTGCCCAGAACCATGTCCAGAAGCCTTTTGAGTATCTCCAAGGATGGAGACTTTACAACTTCCGCAGACAACATGCAGCAGTACTCAGTCACCCTCACAATGAAAATGTGTTTCTTGATGCTCAGAGGGAACCTTCTCTGTTTCAGTTTATTCCCACTGCCTCTGGTCCCGTCACTGGGCACAACCCAAAAGAGTTTGTCTCAGCCTTCTTTATGTCCCCCCTTCACGTACTTATATACACTGATAAGATAGCCCTGAGCCTTCTCTTCCTTACACTAAGCAGTCCCTGCTCTCAGCCTTTTCTTTATGATGAAGAAGGATTCATCATTGAATAGTCCCTCACTGAACTCCCTCCAGTAGATATTGAGCTCCAAATGGAGCTCCTCCACCTCCATGTCTCTCTCACACAAGGAAGCCAAGAAATAGACACAGTGCTCCAGGTGTGGCCCTGCCAGTGCTGAGTAGAGGGGAAGGGCCACTTTCCTCAATCTGCTGGCAGCACACAAAGAGCTTTCTAGCCAGCTGGCCCCAAGCAGCTACTGGTGCCTGTCATTGTTCCTCCCCAGGAATGTCCAGGACTTCACAATTCCCTTTGCTAAACTTTATGTGGTTCCTGTGAGCCCATTTCTCCAGTCTGTCCAGGTCCTCCGGGAAAGCAGCACAGCCTTATTGGCCTATTAGCCACTCCTCCCACTTCTGTATCAACAGGAAACTTGCTGAGATTGTGCTCTGTCCCATCATCATTTTAGTTTTAACTACATATCATTTGTCTTTGCAAAAGTAAAATCTAGAAAACAAGGGAAGAAATGTGTGGCATGGGAGAAATTTACAAACTTAACAGAACTTTTAACTAATAATTTGATTTTTACCAAGAAGAGGAGGCTGATTCAATTCTTTAAATACAGGTGTCCAGTGTCAGCTAAGATTTCCCTAGCCTGGTCTGGCTGGTCTCCAGCTTTCAGCTGAGGAGGTGCAGGTATCTTGTAGACCTGGTGCACACACTGATGATCAAGTCAAATGGCATTAGATGCACATGGTTGGGCACCTGTAAAGGTGTCTTGTAAATGTTTGTATTGCCTTCCAAAGCTACGTTACATGTGTTACTATGCATGTAGTTCCACCAGTCATCATTACTAGGAAGAAAGGTGAATTAATGCCTATGTCAACAAACGAATTAAATGTTATTATTGGACCTAGTAAATGCAAGTTAAGTGTGTATCCTTCATAGTGTAGAACTGCACTTCCAAGAGTGATGTTTATTCACTTGACTTGTATATACATCTACTGAACATTGTAAGAATTAAAACTAGTTCTTTATGTTTCATAACCAATCGAATGCTTCCCTACTTCTGAAAACATTCAGTGCTCTGAGAGATAAGGTGCACTGGGAGAATGCATTAGAGGGCTTTAAGCCCCTAAGAAGTTTAGCTTGCTCATCACTGCAAAATAGTGTTAAGTCTCATGATTTAACAGCACCTGTGAAAGTATCCCCTTATCCCCAGACAGCACCTTTGCCCATTTTAAAAGGAAAGCAAATGCCAAACTTCATTTGGAATGAAAACAGTGGGAAGGATGACTAGAGAATGAAGAAAGAATGAGAGTAACACAAGGTCAGAGGAGGAGTGATGTCTGCAATAAAATGCAGACCTGAGCAAATCCTTAAAAAGTAAAATGTGTGTCAGTGAGTAAAACATACACGGAAATAAGAGCGTAAGATGATGCTTGAATTACAGTCCGAATTGGGCAGTAAGTGTGTGGTGGGTTAACTCTGGTAGGCAGCTAAGCATCACACAGTTGCTTGCTCACTCCCCCTCCCAGGGAATGGGCAAGAGAACCAGAAGGGGAAAGTGCGAAATTTTTTTGTTTAAGATAAAGAAGATGTAATAAATTAATTAAAAAACCCCACAACACAAATACAACAAAAACAAACAAACAAAAACCCCCAAATGACACACAAGTGATGCAGAAGGAATCACTCACTACCAGCACACGGATGCCCAGCCAGTCCCTCAGCAATTTTTAAATAAACTTCCACCCCAGTTTTATTGCTGAACATGCTGTTATATGATGTGGAATATCCCTTTGGCCAGTATGGGTCAGCTGTGCCCCCTACAAGGCTCTTGCCCACCTCACTGGGGTGGACAATGAAATCCAGAAGCAGCTTTAACCCTGTGTAGGGGCCATGCAGTAACAGCTGAAATAATGGTGTGTTACCAACATTGTTCTGGTCACCAGTTTAAAAGCCAGCACCATACAGGCTGTTATGGAGGAAATTAGCCCCATCTCAGTCAGACCTAGTACACGGTGAAAAAAACTTAATCAGTTTATTTCAATCTGTGTAATTTTACTTCCTGTCTTTCCTTCTCTGAGAATCAGAAATACAATAAACAGTGTATTCTATTTTTTTTTTTTTTTTTAGAAAAAGTATTTTTCCTTAAAAATAACTTTGCTTAAATCCTGAGGATTAAAGAGCCTTCTTTCTACAGAAACACTTCAGGTAAAGTATTGTACCTGAAAAGCTCTTAAGTTGCCTGTTGCAAAGATGGCAGCTGTTTCTGAAATTGAGTTGCATGTGCAAATTCTCATACTATTTTTGAAAATTATTTTTAAGCAGGTAAGTGATACAGATGGTCCTACTTGTGTTACTACTGATCTCAAGAGAAGAGTCTCTCATGCTCCAAATGACCGATTTAAAATCATCTTAAGATTAATCTACATTAAAAAGTGAACTACAACATTTTTAAGGCCCCAAGGCTTTCAGAATGGCTGGTCTTTACCAGCTTTCCATATGGATCCACAGAAATATTCACATGGATGCATTTTACTTGGCATAACACCAGGCATTTGAGATCTTCTGATGGTTCTGCTATGTGGACATACATTTCCCACTTCAAAGAAACAATGCTGGATTGTGCAAATAACATGTCAGATTTTTGCTTTGCTGTCATCCCTGGTTTTATAAATGTGTTTCAATCCACAAAATTAATATAAACAGCAACATTACTGCAAAGCAGATCTAAGAGGGAGTGGCCAGAAAGGGTATTCTGCTAGCATGGCTGAGTGCTGCACCTCCCTTTGCTGTGCATTCCTTGTGCAGCCAGGAAGTGGTCACAAATCCTCAAATTGCATGCCATTGTGACCTTGATAGCACCAAAATAAAATCAGTCTGCAGTTTCAGTATTCTCAATCCAATCTCACCCTTTTCTTAAGTGAAACCAGAGCCTCCCTACTCTGAACTGAAGCCTCTCTTTTCAACAATGAAGACCAGGCTCTGAGAACTCTGGGAACTCTTCTGTTGCTTCTGCTCTTACTTTCTGTCTCTGGAGCCAGTGGAAGTTACAATTCTAATAGTTAAGTGCACTTTTCAATCGTGCAGACAGACTGTAGAAATTTATTACTAAGATTGTGAATCTTAGTATGTCACAGACTTGAAAGTAGGGAACTCAAAAGGAGTCTTGCCATTAGATTTCATTTCAGCTCAGTTTAAAAATTATATTCATAGCATTCCAGTGAGAGTAGCAGCACCATCATTCTTACTGCATAAAGCCAGCAGTTTTCCTTTATAGAAGCTGACCTGTCTTGGACAAAAAAAAATTTACATTCCTGCTGGCTGCAAAATAATAAATAATAAATTTCATCCTGTAAAATATGCGTGTGAATTAGCAATGATCTAAACCCTCATCTACAGATGTCAGGCATGAAATTCCCTAAGGAGCAGAGTGAGGCTGGCATGAAAGGCTTGTGATGATTTCAAATTAAGCCTAGGGAGCCTTCCCCAGGTCCATTGCATGTGGGATTCAGCTCCTAGAGCAAAACCCTCCTGTAGTTTGATCTCCAGCTCAGAGTCACTTCTGGCAGAAGATGGATGGCTCAGGGTAGGGCTAGAGGAAGAGAAGGGAGTGTTGGACCTCACGTACCCCATGCTTTCCTGTCACTGCATGGACATTTAGGGCCAAGAACCCTGTAAAGTTGTTTTTCCATACAGTCAGTTCTGCCCCATAACACTCACATCTGAGCAAGACCTACAGGAAGCTGAGGCTCCAGGAAGCCAAGTGCTGAGCCACTGGCTGTCCAGAAGCAGCTCAGAAGAGGCAGGAGAACCCTGAGCACACAGGCTTCTTACATCTGTGGCCACAGCCAGAAGTGTCCCTGACCATCTCCGAGCTTTCCTCTAGCCACACCACATCATGCCAGGAAAACCCTCCTCTCCCAACACCCCCAAATCCCTTTTCCTTACCACCTTCCCAGCAACAGGGCACATCCCCTGCCCTCACTGAAGCCAAGAAGATCTCCTTGGCTCTGCTCCTCACCTGTCCACAGAGACCAGCTCCCCATCAGAGTATGGGTGCATCACTGGGGACTCTGATGACCCCATTTCTTCTCTGGGGAGGTCAGGGAAGGAGAAATACACTGAATCACTGCAAAGGAGGAAAGAGGTCAGTTATTCTACTCTCTGGCAGCAGCCTCCTTACCTGCAGAGCTGGCAATACCCAGCTTCACCATTTCTTCCCACTGTCTTTCTGCTCCCCAGGGGCCTGGGCTCCAACTCAAAACACCCCCCGTGTTTCAGTGCTGCTGAGCATCCCCAGCAGAACCTGCAGGCTTGACCAACCACATCACCCTGCCCAGACCAAGCTGCTCACCTGGGAGCTGGCAGCTTGCACGGCTCCTCCACAGACACCTCCTTTTTGGTC